CTAAGGTTTAAGGCGACTGCTCTCTCAGCCTCATGGCCTAGCACCCAGACTTGGAGCTGGCATGTCGAGCCCTGGGTGAGCTGCAGGTGTGAACTACCAACAAGATTGCTCCTGAGCTGACCGTCGGCTTTGCCATCTGGGAAGGGACAGGCTGGCGCTTGCCTCTCCTGGGCTTCCTGGGCATGAGTCACATGTAACTAGATAATGATGCAAATCACTGTCAACATTTCTTAAGGTTTCATTCCAATGCCTCACAGAATGATAGAGCAGAAAGCAACCTCCGAGACAGCAGAGACAACCATGCCAGCCCCATCTCAGAAAAAGCTGCAGTGCAGAATGGTGAAGGGACTCCCTCTATTCCCTACAGCAGATCAGCAACAGAGCAGGGACAGACCTTCTGGCTCTTTGTAGACGACTGCTTTAACTACATGATAGTTAGAAACTATAACCCTCCCATCAGTCTAGTTACCATATACTGACAAAACAAAAAGACCTAGCTAAACCTCAAAAAAAGATAGAAGTCATTGGAAAGCACATTGGCCAGATGGTTCTGGTGGGGGGCATCTTTGCCTGCTTATAGCTCTGTGAGATCCTCAGCTTGGTCAGATGGACTGGGAAGTCCTAACCTCATTTATGTCTTCTCTCCAGCCTGAAACTACGCCAAAACAATCCCAAATCTCAAATAAAAGTTGGTGTCTGTTGCTGTAAATGTACAAATAACCCAAAGTCAAAATTAGGGATGGAGGTTACCATTCCTTTTGCTTTCTGTGTGTTGAGGTGGTCGTGGGGAGGAGGAAGGCTTTCAGGGACGAGCAGACGTCGACAGGGATCACATTGTCACCTGTGTGCGCCTTTTCTTCTAATGGCCTTAAACTGCCAAGTGGCTGCAACTGCAACGTGCTGACTTTAAACCCTTTTATGGAAAGCACCATCCCCTTTTTGACTAGCATCACTTAAAATAATGAGTTAGATGCACTTGTATTATTCTGTCTTTCAAGTGGATTAAATGCACAGGCTCGCTCTCCTCCAGTCTCGCAAGCTTTGGCCTGGCTGTCTGAACCTCCAGATTAGACTGATGAGCACATGCCAGACAGCAATGAAACGCAATTACCCAGGCAAACTTTTGAAGGATTTGAGCCCTGGGGCACAGGCTGTTTACGAAAGACTAAAAGCACCGTTTGTGCTGAGCAGGACCAGTTGCCTCCGTCTTTTCCAGTTCTGGATCCTGCCTGCCACTGGACTGCAGGCAGGATTTCTGGGGGCCTGATAACATCAGGCTTCTGTCCGCACCTCAGCACCTCAGGGTCTTTGCTCTGTTTTTCAACAAGAAAATGCAAGTACCAACAAAAGCCTATTATAACATCTCCCTTTGTGTTCAATGACTCTCTCTCTCTCATTGATTTATTTTTTTGTATTGTGTACTACCCCGAAAAAATGCAGCCAGGGATCATCCTATAGCTGACTGGCTGTGTAACTTCTTTGGAAGTGAACAACCTTTCCAAAAAACAGGAACTTCCCGTCTCCTTTGAAAAAATATTAAAAAGCAAACCAGTTTCAACAGCACCTCTGAATTACTTTCCCCTTCATTTGAACCAAAGAGGTTTCAGAGGAACAGAGGTGGAGGGAAGAGAAGACAAAGAATGGGCAAAGGGAAGGTTGATAAGGAGAGTGACCACGTCTCCCCTCTGCTGACCCACATTTTTGTTTGTTTGTTTGTTTTAGTCAACCGAGGGTGACACAGAGGTGTTGGAATGGTTCTTCATCCAACCAGCTGAAAATTAAAATGTAATTCTGCTAGGAGAATGGTGGGGAGGGGAGGGATTGGGGAAGCTTCCTTGGCTTTTGTAGTTGGTGTGAAGGAAGCACCAAGTGAAGCCAGCAGGATGGCAGCACTGAAATGCTCCAGGGCTGGGGCTGGGGGTCCTGAAGCCCCCACCATAGGGCAAAGGGTGGGTTTGGGAAAGAAGCTTCCACGAGGAGTGGGAAAATACAAGCGAAAGCAAGATAAAGAGTAAACTTGGAAGGATGGGTTTCAGAAGTGCTGGAACCAAGAACAATCTAGAATGCTTTTAGAGGAGGCCACACAGGGGCACACCTGCACACCAAGGAAGGAAGAAGAACGCCACTGCCAGGAGCTAGCAGTGAGTAGGGGTTGGGGTCCAAGGAAGTGGTGGGTAAATCATGCACTCTTACTCTGGGGTCGAGATGTCTAAAGAAACGTGGAAAGCAGGGTCAGGATTCAGAAGGCAGCCTCTGATGAGGCTGAGCAGTCTCTAGAGGAAGGAAGATGGAAGGAAAGAGGCTGGGATGAGAGAGTTTGGCCTCAGGGAGGGAATGGCAAAGGGCAGTGGAATAGCTTAGTTAGCAGAAGGCTGTGAAAGTGATGAGGGCCAGAAAGCCAAGAAGCATGGAGACTTCCTAGGCTCCTCCTTGTCACAAACAAGAAGAGAAAGGGCCCTAGAAGGGGCAGGTGGTGCCAGCCAGGCTCCCTCCCCAGGTTCCCAGCTGGGATCTGGGAAAGGAGACAGAATGGAGAAAGGAAACAGCCAAAGGGCCCCAGCAGAGAGTTGGTGCTTTGTAAGGAAAGAAATTGTTTAGGGCAAGAGATTCTGAAATTAACTTAAAACCTAAAATACACAGTTTTGACCTGTTGTCCCAGGAGCAAGGAAAAATCCTTCCTCAATGACTCATGCGAACCCCTTTCTCTACAGCTCTGGGCTAGGTTTGTGGGGGTCCTGGGAAGGAGAGTTCCTGCCCACCTGGAAGTCTCCTTCCAGCTTGTTGATCTCAGAACCCTGACGTGCTCTGGGAAGAAGAGTGTAGCGGGTGGGGGCACACACAGGGTTGCCTGCCTGGATGGCATCTCATCGGTGGTGGTTGAGTTTTGACTATCTTACAGCACAAATGGTGGGAAATCATAGCCATGACAGTTGGCAAAGCATCACTCAAACGTGCAGCCTATCTGGTAACAGCAGAAGGCCGAAGAATTTCCCGTGGGGAAATGCCAAAGTGACAGAGACCAACAGATCAGTCAGGAGTCGGGAAGGGAGTCAGTCCTGGCCTCGGTGAGGACGAAGATGTTCTGGAGGAGATGGGGCAGGTGAGGTGCCCTGAAGAATGGCAGGATTCGGGGATGTGGTAGGGGGGAGAGGAATGAACTTTCTGGGTAGGCATCCAGCATGGACCAAAGGTTGTGGGCAGGACTGGCGATGGGTGTTCAGAGATGAGGTCAAGCAGGAAGACCTGCAGCGCTCAGCCACCTCAGTGCCCAGCCTCCTTCCTGTTCATTGGCTTGACTTTTTGGTCATTTCAGAGCATGAATGAGCTTTGGAAGAATGGAGCACCTTGTGGCCCAGAGCGAGGCAGGGAGGTATGGCTAGAGAAGGAGTCAGGAAACTGGTAGTTCCATGGTCTCCATAGGTATCAGGCCTCCCTGGCATCAGCTGGCCTGAAATAGCAACACCTGCTTCTTCGGCCACTTTCCTCCAAAGATGACATGTTCGGACAGGTTTCACCAGGAGTGCAGGGCTAAGGGAACCTATGCAGTGCAATCCCTGGACTCTCTGACGACCAAGGTATCAACAGTGAGCACACTGGGCCTTCACACGTCACTCAAGGCACATAGAGGGGATTCAAACTCAGGCTGGAGTGTAGCCAGAAGTCCAGGTTGCCTATGCTCATTGCTATTCCCCGTCTGTCACTCTGCTGCCTCTGAAAAGTTGTCCTTTTGTCCCTCTGGGATTGTCAAATGACATACATATAGAGATACGAGGGTGGCTGAGCTACAAATGATTTATACTACAAAAAACAGACTGGCCCAACCTCATCTCTAGTAAGTCCTCAGTCTCAAATGGAATAAATAGCATGTGGATTTTCACTGTTGTGTCTCTGAGGTCGAATTATGAGTCAGCAATGGGGCTTAGTGCTTAAATAAGTTGTGTATGGATGAGAAGGATAGGGCTGCCTATTCCTTGTTTGAGTGACTGCTGGCATCTAAATGCCTCCCAGCTCAGGTAAAGCCTCCCTGATCACAAAGGGAGCTGGGAGATTTGTCGAGCTACTCAAGCCCTCAAGACATGGCCACTACATGTGTGAGAATTTCTTAGCTCGTCTACACAGGCTCCTTACTGTTGGCTCTTGGCGTAAAGAGTGGTTTTTGATAACTCTGGGAAGCTCTTTTCCTGACTCCTATCCTGTGGGCCTCCACATTGTGTGGTCCTGTAATAGGAAGTCATTTCAGGGTGGCTTTGACTAAGGAATGGTCCTTCAGAGCAGTCATCACCCTTGAGGGGTGCCCGCCTGTACCCAGAAGGGCTTCTGCCCAGGGCTGCCTCATGTCAGGGCCTCTTGAGAACTGGATTTGCAAAGTGTCTGCAGATGTCAGTCCTGGTGGCCTGCTCTGTCTGCTCTGATCACAAGGGACAGGAAGGCTGAACCAGGACAGAACAGTTTGTGGTTTCATCAATGAATAATATGGAGCTGGGGACAAAGTCCCCTCTGCTTTCTGGGGCTGTCACTGAAATGTCAGCAGTGGAGGGAAAACTAGAAGAGAAAACCTCTCACTGACAGGCGCCCTCACAGTGGAAAGAGCTCAAGTTTCAGCGCTGGGGTGGGGTGGGGGCTGCCTATTCACCCCGCTTGTCCCCTGGGCTGCTCCACTCCCATCATGACTGGGAATTTATCCTACAACAGGCCACAAGCTCCTTGTTCTGCAGTAGGAAATTATCCTTCATAAGAGGGCGACTGTTAGTATTGTTTGTTTGTTTTTTAATTTCCAAAAGTAAGGAGAAGTTTATTAAATAAGAGCAGGGGAAGGGAGGAGGGAGGAGGAGAGGGAAAGGGCCCAAGAGGCGGCTGACCCCAGCATTTCCCAAGTCTCCCCTTGGCTTCTCCCATCTCCCTTGTCCCAGACCCCCCTCCTCCTGGTTCTGAATGTGAAAAATAAGCAGCCTGTGCCTCCTGGACTGGAGATGTGTCTAACAAGGCCCTCATTGTCTCAGACAGGTGTGAGATTGGACTTGATTCGGGGCCAACACCTCCAGTACCGGAGCCAGCTCCGTGAGCCGAAAACATGCACCAGCCCTCCAGTAATACCACTGTAGCCAGCCAGAGACTCAACAATTTAAGGCTTAACACACACAACATAAATCAGAGGAGGATGGACCAGCCGACCGGCAGCTTCTTGGGCAGATGCCTGCAGACTGTCTGCAGATCATACCCTGCCTGTTTGGGTTATTTGAGACTCTTTTTCTGTAATATAAAGATGAGAAACTGGGTGGAGCAGCGTGCAGAGGCACACGGGTGTTTGTTCTGTCTTGTTCCAACAGCCCCTCTTTCGCCTAAGTGCTGTTTTGAAGGGACTGCTCAGGACGGTTCACATTGCTACATCCAAATCCTAGGAATGTGTCCAAGCTGGGGAGGAGGGGAAAGGAAAGCTGAGCGCTCCGATATGGGCGGTATCTGTGTGACCCTGGGCAAGTCTCTTAACCTCTCTGGGCTCATCCATCTAACGAGGGGTCTAGTTTTCTGCGATTCACTCATCTCTAGTGCTCAGAAGTTGCAAGTCACTGTAAGAAGTGCCCAAGTCACAGGAGGTCATTACCTTGGGCGGAAACTCACAGCACCATTGAATGCTGCTTCTGAGTGGATCCATGTCTTTGAGCAAGAAAAGTCTCTTCTCCTCATATCTGTTCTCAAATCTGTGGTTCTCAGACTGCTGAGGCAAGCCCCGAGCGCGAGCCCCCGGGAGTGTGGCCATGACGGCAAGGGCCACGCGCTACGGTAGGGGAAGATGGAGATGACAGGTCTGCACTGCTAGTTACTGCCACGCTCCAGTCTCTCCTCCTAATCAATTCTTAGATAAGTTTCATTGAGGAGGGAGGATTACCGAGTCACCAAGTCTTAGTAAAGCGGGCGGGGGGGGTGGGGGGGTTGAGGCGGCGCCCAGAAGCCACCCGTCAATGCAGGAGCCTCCACTCTGGTGCCTCTGAGAGAAGGACATTTAGTCTCTGCAAATTCCTGTGACATTCCAGGGTAGCTTTTGGCCCTGCCATTCGTCACCCTGACCCTGAATTCATGGACAAGGACGTGGCCGTCACAGGGACGCCTTCATCTGGTCCCAGCTCTCTCCCTCTCATAGCCGTGCTCTCTGTAGGGAGCAACTGGCATGAAGTGTGGCAGTGGCATCCTGAGCCGGGATGACAGGACCATCAGTCAGCACCAGCCTCCCTCCCCTCCTGGCCTCAGCCTGCCAAAGCGGCCTCGCATTCCCACAGCTGTGGCTCCGGCCTCTGCCCCGTCACACTCGCACACCTGTTTGCTGTCCTGCTTCTGGCCTGCCAGCCCAAGCCACAGCCCCAAGCAGGCTTAAAGGGCCGGGCTTGTGGGAAAAATTGGCACAGGATAGTATTAACTCAGAATCACAAAGGAAGGTGAAACTTGGTTAAAAGAAATCCTTTTGTAGCTGCTTCATTAAAAACACCAAAGAGGCTGACCATTCGCATTTGTTTGATGTGTCCAATTCATGCAAGTAATGGGACAGGTCGGGGTTCACCCTTGCCTGCTACCCACGTGGACTTTGTGCTCAGGACCTGTCAGTCTCCTGTAGCTGGTTGTCTCCAACAGGGAGCAGGGCTGGGGTGCCGGGTGGGGCTGCGGAGGGTGGGCATGGCTTTGAGGAGTATTTCCCTTCCTTGCTGAGTGGGGCTGAGGAGGGTAGGTGTGGCTTTGAGGAGGACTTCCCTTCCTTGCATGCTTTAAGGATTCTTCCTACAGCCAGGCATGGTGGCTCATGCCTGTAATCCCCACACTTTGGGAGGCCGAGGTGCGCAGATCACCTGCGGTCAGGAGTTCGAGGCGAGCCTGGCCAACATGGTGAAACCCCATCTCTACTAAAAATACAGATATATATGTGTATATATATATATATATATATAAAATACTACATATATTATACTATATATATATTAGCTGGGGGTGGTGGCAGGCTCTGTAATCCCGACTGTGTAATCCCAGCTACTCAGGAGGCTGAGGCAGGAGAATACCTTGAACCTGGGAGGTGGAGGTTGCAGTGAATCTGGGTGACAAGAGTGAAACACTGTCTCAGAAAAAAGAAGAAAAAAAAAAAGATCACTCCTCCTTAGCACGAATTCAACATTTTAAAAATGGAGACTCAGAAGCAGCCCAGGATACTGAACCAGACCACGGAACCTAGCATCTCCCCGAGATGGTGTCTCTCCAGGAAAAGGCAGTGTGAGGGACAGCATGGTTCAGTGTCCAAGTGAATGATCCATTCCAACCCCAGAGACTGTTCCGAGGCGACCTCTGAGGCAGAACCGAACCAGCCAATGGGAAGAACACTGGGCCAGGAGCCCGAAAACCTGGATGTTAGGTCCGCTTCTAATTGGGAAAATCACTGAAACTCCCTGGGCCTCGAGTGTCTCATGAGTAAAATATAGGGCTTTGAGCAAAGAAGTGTAAGGTCCTTTCAACTTTAACAATTTACCATTTTGTCTTGTGGAACCCTGGTTATCGGAAGTTCTCCTGTTTGGGTTTGTCCAAGGAAACAAAACTCAAATGAAAATACCACTAAAACCACCAATACCTTTATCCACTCTGGGGCTATAATCACTCCTGAGGAATAAGGAGACACCAGGAGAATCAGCACAGAGTAGCTGTGTGACTTGGAGAGGATCGATGGGTATAACCAACTGGCGATACAACAATGCCACCAATAAGAGCATATAAATAGCAGTAATAGTGAAAAGAATAACACTGACCATTTATTAAGTATTGAAAGTGTACCGGGATCCATGCTAAATTTTTGATAAAACTGTATCTCAATCCTTGCAAAGACTTTGTGAAGGATTAATAAATACACACAACGCTTCCCATGTGCTACGCATCAAGTGATTTCTTCATGTTAACTCATTTAATCCTCACAATTCTCCCACGAGTTAGGAACTATGATTGTTACGACGGTTTGCACAGGGGGAGCAGTGACACGGGGCATTACAGACCCACATTCTGCCTTCCTCACAACGTGCATTCTGAGGGCTGCCATCTCTCTTCTGAGTCCCTTCTGAGGATGAGATGGAAAGGATAGCTCTGTCCTGGCTGGGGAGAGGGATGGACAGAAGAACTGACTTCTGCCTTAACATCTCCAGGCTGCTGTGTCTTCCTCTGAGGGAGCCATCAATGACCAGGGAGAAAGTTAGAAAATAAGGACAATTCTTTATAGAGCGGCGAATGCATTCCCCTCCCCTACCCCAAGGCGTGAAAGAATCAAATGAGGAAATCGGGAAGAGATTCTGGAATAGAAATAACAAGATTTCCCTTCCCTTCCACCTGAACTGGCCATCAGTAATTTTGCACAAATTCAATTTTGAAGTCATGCTTCGTAATTTGTGGTAAATCATATTAAATTAAACAGATCCATGTCTGGACGACGACTTCTCTCATTTAGGAACATATGGTGGCTCAGAGCCTCTCACACAGCAAAACTATAAACGCTCCTTCAAAATCAGCAGCAGAGTGAGGGGCTCTGGGACTACCCTACTGGTTTTCCTGAGAATGTTAGTTAGGGGTGACCATTAATTCATGGGAACTGCAGTATCCAGAATGATAGAATGTTAGTGTTTAAGACAACCTGGTTAATCACTTATGTGATAGATGAGGGCCTGGGACTTGGTGGTAAAGGAAACAGTGCTGGGTCACGTGAAAACAGAGCAGACACCACAGGTAGGACCTTCTGGGCAATGCTTCCCCCTAACCATGTCATGCACCTACAGGTGACTGGTGGTGGGGATTCAATGAACCAACAACATTGGTCTGTTCTATAAATATGAGCTATCATTATTTTATTACTCCTTTTGGTAAACACGTGAGCCAGGCAATGTCCTTGTCATAATCTTGCTGTCATAACTGCTGTATGATAACCTGGGTATAGACACAATCACAAACAAAGGCTACCATTTTAAAACGGGGAAGTGGGTGAGTCTTACGCTTCAAAAGCTTCTGCATTCATCTTTACGATACCAGCCTCGTTGGATGACCAACAGAAGTGTGTCTTAAAACTCAGGCCATTATGGCTGTTCCACGTAGCGGGCGATTTACAACAAAGTATAGATGAAGATGAACCAGCCTTGAGATGAGAGAGCTAAATAAACCACTTAACGGGCAGAAAGGCCAAGTCCGAGCCCTTGAGCTTGTGCTGACTTTTACAGATATTTTAATAACTTTATCATCATATAATTTGCCATCTGATATGTGCAGAGAGATGCACTAATGGAGTGAGAGTGGCCACAACAGTGTAATAATCCCATGAGACTGAATCAAACCACCATGTTCGCTTCCCTCATATGACCTGCAACTCCAGGAAGTGCAATCCCTAGTCACATTATTTCTTCCTCCTTTTTTGTCTTGAGATGTTCTTAAAAAAAAAAAAAATCCCAAAGCAAGTGTACATATGTAGTCCTTCCAGTGATACAAAGAGGAACTGGCACAGCATAAGCTCTCTGGGTCTTAGATCTGGCTTTGGAATGACTCAGGTTGAAACCACAAAGCCGTAAGGTAAAGAGGACATCATCCATAGCAGGAACTGGCAATTTACAGGGCTGAGACACTTAACCGTCCCAGATGGGTGAGCTCCTGATACCGAAGTTAGCACTGACTCAGCGAGGGCCTTGAGGCTTGACTCACAGATCTTCCCTAACTGACACCAACCGAAGGATCCCACAGTGTCCTCCATACTTGCAGGAGGATTGAGCTGGACACTACAGTGGCCCAAGTCTTACTAAACGGAACTGATGATGTTGACTTACAAAGGCTCAGATTCAGTGACCCAGTTCAGATTGGGTGGAAGAGCCAAGATGGTTGAGGAATTAAGCACCATTTCCATTCCTGGTGGTTTTTTTGTTTTTTTCATGATGAACGTTTCCACTCTTGTCCACCGCGACCCGTGCTAGAGTACAATGGCCCCGATCGTCGGCTCACTGCACCGTCCGCTCCCAGGTTCAAGTGATTCTCCGCTGCCTCAGCCTCCAAGTTAGCTGGCATTACCGTGTGCCCCGCTACCACACCAACTACAATGGCCCGAATCCGCTCACTGCAACCTCCGCCTCCCAGGTTCAAGCCGATTCTCGCCTGCCTTCAGCCTCCCCAGTAGCTGGATTACAGATCCCCTACACACCAGGCTAATTTTGTATTTTTAGTAGAGGAGGCTTTTGCCCATGGTGGCCAGGCTGTCTTTGAACTCCCGACGAACCTCAGGTGATCCACCCACCTCCGGTCTTCCAAAAGCTGGGATTACAGGCGGGAACCACCGTGCCAAGCTCCCTGGTGTTTTAAGCCTCAAGTTCATGCCAATCCCATAGGTGTTAGGTGACATGAGACTCAGGTCAGTGATCACCATCCTCCTCTTCTTCCCTCCTGCCCATACTGATTCCCTCCAGGAAAGAAAGTAGGGAATTTCATCTTTAAGAGCAAGAATCCCCTTCCAAAAAGGTTAATTCCCATAATAGGATCTATGGAGATCGGAATTGGAAGACACTTTTCAAAATCTTGAAACCCTATTGAGAAACTGCTAAACCCTAAACATGACCCTAAGGTTGTATGGAATAATGACGGCGCCCGGAATTGTGGCATCCTGTGTCTGGAGGCAGTGGCTGTCTTTTCTGCCCAATCTTTCCTACCCATGATTCAGTCGACATTTAGTCAAACATTCAGTCAAGCATTTAGCGCCATTGTTCTGTTTTCTCTTAAAACAGAAAATGGTCTATCCCATGCCATTTAGGGGAGTGTGAACTGGCTAAAACTCAACCTGAAGACTTTCCATAGCTTGCTAATCAGAAATAACCTGAATAAGAGGTGGTACATTCTTCCCCTATCAATTCTCAGGAGTGCACAGAGAGACAAAAAATAAACACGGTTGGCCAATGTTTGTTTTTAGGGTGAGTTCTATACTATTTTTCTATTATTATTTTGCTTTATTTACTGTGGTTGGTAACTGAATCTCTAACATCAAAACATGAGATGTTCTGCCAGAAAGAGATTACGGAAGAAAAGTCTATGAAAAGAAACTGGGTTTGTCAGTGAAGATTTTATTTACAGGAGTTTTGCAATTGGTATCTTTAGTCTCCATAACAATTGGGCTGTTCTACTGCTTTGAAGGCAATTGTTCAATAATGAGCAGGTCCCTGTTAGGCTAAGTCTTGGAAGGAGGAATGTAACAGGGCTGGTGACAATTGAGGCAGGTGAAACCCTCTGCCTCTGTCAATTTCCCAAAAAGTCAGGGTGGGGTGTCCTAAGGGTCAGAGGGAAGTAAGCAAAGACAGAGGTAATGAAAATCCCTCCACATCATTTAAATCACAAATACTGGATTTTAAAGAGCCCTAAAATAACTGAATGCGAGTGGGTCTGAATTTCTGTTCCATAAGGCAAGGAAAAATCATGCAGATGAGTAAAACCAATTCAGTCTGGAGAACTACGCCTAATCAGAAAACCCAAGCAGTAGCTTTCTAAGAATACAAAAAGTAGTTTTCGAAGTGGAGCTGTTTTTCTTATTAGCATATATTGTTTGTTCTTCCTCTCAATACAAACTTTTGGTAAACTTTGATACTACTTCATGACTACAGTAAAAGTTTCTTTTTTAAATGTCCAAATTTGAAAGGCTATCTTCAAGTGATTTGTAAATCACCATCCTTTTGAAATGGGTGTGTAGTCAACAATGCCTGGCAATAAAGTCTCTTTTTTAAAAGGCAGCTTGCTTCAAAACAACAGTGACATGCCTGACTTTGGGTGGTCAAATTCTTGAGTCCGTCCCAACTGTCTGGCTTTGGTCATCA